ACCCAATATGCACTCTAACCTATACTCATTTGATAAACATTCAGAAAATGTTCATTACAAAACAGAAACAGAGACTCGAAGATTATTTTGGCATTTCAATATCAGATTCAGACGTTCTTTTAAAGAATCTTACTCCCTACACATATTTACCGTCGACGGTGCGTTGGGTCCTCTTCTATGTTGCATGTCTCTCACAAATGCCGCCCCCTTCAGTTGTATGATATAGTTACACTTAGGGAAATACGTAGCATGTTCTTTACAAGGGTCGTCGCCCGTACTCCAGTCTTTAAGACCACCATCGCACGTGAAACACCGACATAAATCACCTTCTCCTATAACAAAATCACACTTTTATAAATATTCAAAATTAGAGTTTATTCTTTACCCGTAATTAACATCAAATGCCTGCTTCAGATTGACCACGTAACCACCCAATATATTTTCAGTAGTGTGTGTTCTGTAATGCATGTATTAGGTTAAGAACATTGTTGAGTAAAATACCGGAGTTTATTGCACGAGTACGGAGCTATCGAACCTATATTTGACGAGACGCTAGCCAAGTGTAATATAGGTTTAAGAGCTGTTTAGGAGTCCAGTAGAATCCATATTGTACTTAACACTGTATAATAGCATCTTATTTACACGCATTATAACATCGGTCTAGTTATCTAACTTTTTAGGGCAGTGTGAGAATCTGGCCGTTGTTTCTTTGAGCAAGAAAATTTAAACTCAATACTAAACTGTAACATGTAAGGTCAAGTGACAAATTTGATGTTGTGTCGATAATAGCTTCCTGCACAGTTGAACTAAGATAAACACCATATATAAATAATGCTTTGTATTAGAAGTTCTATCCATACGCCTATATTTAACCCTTAAACCTATTGAGAGACCCAGGCAAACATTCAAAACTGCATGGTACCAGTACCAGGCAAGACACCAAGTACCTTCAATTCTTTTTTTTATTTTTTTATTTCGAGACAAAAAATGTAAAAAATAAAAATAAAAATTAGACGACATTTTCGGCAAGCCAAATTTTCTTAGCAGGTTTAAAGAAAATTAGTTCATCTGTTTTTGTTGTGAGTTTTCACGAATAATACAGAATGTATTATAATATTAGGATAATGCATCACTTTTGCGAGCTTGCAGGAATATATCATTGAATTATCAACATGAATGCATTGAGCAATACAACCGATTAAATACGAGTACCACTTTCATGCAATATCCATTCTATATATGATATATATGCTTAGATAAGAGGATTACGAATTTACGATATGCCTAGAAATTCTGAAGTTTTGTTGAAGGAACTCCACCACTGAAGGTCAAAGGTCTAGTAAAAGAATAAAATTTGAATTCGTTACATAGAACATCTGGGACACTTAAAACGAAAGGTACGCAAATGATAATTAAGAAAAATGCTGAGACAAATTGAAAATTGTATTTTTTGCTATACTTAGACCGACTTTTCGATTCTGGGGTCAGTACCTCGAAACTATCGTTAGCATAACGAATGCCGTAAGCCTCTCGTTAAGGTTTTCACTTGTATCTCGAAACTCTCGTAATTAACGAATAATCGTTAAAATGCCCAATTATTAACGGATGCGTAGAGGGTGTCGTATAGCTCTCGTTACTATCACTTTGGCACAAAAGGAAGAATACTTCGAATTTAAAATACACAGAAAATGATATTTATATCAACTTATTGATAAAAAATGATGAACCTACATAAATATGATATTTTATTTCTTTTTCTCAAATATCAAACATATCAAACATATGTAAGAGCTCTTTAAGTTTTCATAAACAACTATATTTGAATTCAGATGAAAGAAAATCATATCATAACTGAAGCATCGAAAGGAATACACTTCTACCCAATAAAATCTATTTAACTACAAAGTTTCACGTTGATATCTCTTATAATTTTACAGTTATGTTATGCACAAAGTCCAAATTGTAGAAATGAACGAAGGGCAATAACTCCAAAATTTAGCATGGCAGAGTTACGGTTATTGTGCACTGCAAATCTTCTCATTGAGATCTATCTACCTGCGACGTTTCATGTTGATATTTCTTATAACTATTGAGATATGTCTTGGACAAGATTTTTCTAAAACGGGAGATAATTCAAAAACGCATAAAAACCTCAAGATTACCACTGGCGTTCCTGCCGATCCGCCAATACGCACGGGCGTATTTTAATGAATAGAGAAATTAATATTTGAAAAAGATGAAGCTAAAAAAATGATGTAGATGTATCTAAAGTTGGTAGCTGCTTATCAGGTTATCTGGTGGCAGAAATATGCCACCATACAAATCATCAATTTTTGTAAGTAAGTTATCTTTGAGTTACCATAAAAATTCAATTTATTCCACCCTTTGCGGATTTTATTAAGGATTATCATTTCAAAAACTTAAAAAACAATGTTCTTCCTTCCTTTTTTCTTATTTTGAACTTTTTACAAAACTAAAATATGTTTCCACTCTTGCTTTAAATTGCGTAATTTTTCTGTTCATTTGTAAATATTTGTATGCGATACAAAATCCTATATGTTATGTTTCTTTTTTCTAAGGTTTTGACTTGAATTTCTGCCAGACTAGTAAGGCATTAATTTTAACTGCGTAATAATATAACTAAAATATATTGGATTAATTTCAAAGAGTAAAATTGAGGAAAAATTGTAAAAAAAAACAATTATTTTCTAATATTAACAAAATGCACCTAAGTGATCGCGTATCAATGAATTTAAGGTGTGGTTTTGATGCTATAGATTATAATTACACTTCAACATTTAATCTGTTGTGTTCGTTGTATGGTCATAAGCAATATTTTCCTTATTCCTTGATTATATCTCATGTTAAGGTATTTTTAAATAAAAAAAAAAATATAGCAAAAAATAGTGTTTCAAACATCTTGATTAGAATAGAAATACCTGGCTTTGTTTTGTTTCTCTAATGATAAATACGTTTTAAAGCAATATTTTCCTTGATAATATCTCATGTCATCCTCGGTGACCCATGCGTTTTACCGTATACATGTATTAAATGTAGTGTACTAGTATTCGGAATGTGAATCATGGTTTCCGACTATGATCTCTTGTCTAGATATATTGAAAAAGAAAAGAAAAAACGGAAAAAAGTCAACCATCTTGATTACAAATAGAGGTATCTGGCTATATTTGGTTTTCCTAATGGTAAATAACTTTTTTTGAATCATTTAATAAAAACAATATTCACTTCAGGCTTGATGAAAATAGGACACTTTGCCCAAGGGACTGTAATTGGCGTATACTCAAAATAAGCCAAGGTACGCCCCTGATTACCTGTGTAAAATAGTCCAGCAACGGCTAATTGTTGATGCGGTATGTCTACATTACTCGGAAAACGTTCAAATGTTTCCAGCCTCGCATTCATAGTCTGATACTGAGGGGAGCGAACTCTGTATGACATCTGGTTCCCGGCTTGTCGAGATGAGTCAACTATAAAATTTATTGTAAAGTTCTTTAAAAAATGTTCCTATAAGAACAGTATGAATCATATCAACAACAAGAACAAAGAAAAATATGCTCATGAAGTTTGTTACAAATAAAATGTGATATCCTTTTTTCATCATTGCAGCACATACTGCACATCACTAACATCACTATCACTTTTCAATGGATAAGCATGACGTTTATATTATCTTTATAAATATCTTTCGTTTTTCCTAAAAAAAATCATTTTGCTTTTATAAATTCGTTATATAGATGTTTGACATGTTCATATCACCGCGTATTAAACGGTTGTTTGCAAATAACTCTCGACAACGTTATATAAGTTAACAACCGTTTACTTGGGAACCTGTCAAAAATCTTTAAAAAACTAATAATAAAATGCATTGTTTTTACCGTGTATTTCTTACCAGTTTATATAGACTATGTTTGGTCTTTAACTTGAGCATTGTCAGTTAATATATAATTGCATTGATACTTTACTGATAATTTCCGAAAGAGCTACACAAAGAATTGGTATTTAATGGACTTTTAGGTGAATTTATCAAAAAGTTTTCAAGATACCTTCCGTTGACGTTAACTGAAAAATAAAAAATAAAAATCACCATTCAATGATTGATCAAATAGGAAAACGTCGTTTGTTTCAATAACACAATTTTTGTTAAAACTTTTGACTTTAAAAAGATTTTGTTCAAGTATTGCCTGAGACTAAATGATGGAACCACCGACAGGATTTCTTAAAACCACAATATCGAAATAAATAAAAAATATATTTTAATAGCATATGGTTATCATAAATTATCGACAATCGTGTTACCATGGATATATTTGTTTGATATTTCCTTAAAACTCAAAATCTACAATTATTTATATGAATGTACAAATGTAGATGTCTTTGTGTTTAGTGACCTTACCATGTTACTTTTCACTTTAAAGATATATTATGCTCAAATTTGATATTTGAAAAAAATGGTAATTGATATACAGACTCTTTTGAAAATTAAAATAAACATCTTCCGAATACACACAAAGAAAATATATAAACGTTTTAAACACTACATATTACAGGTAATCACAATATGATTACATTGTGTCATTTTAAAAAAGTGGCACTTTTTATAATGAGAGACCACATAAATTTGGAAAGCAATGGGGACTACAGCTTCCCAAACATTTTATACATTCATTTATTCAAATAAGACATATTCAGGAAGAATTTACTAGATTTCAATAAAATCCTGCAATAAAAGTATTTTTAACCCAAAGATTAGCATTAATTAGTATATCTTTAAGGTATCTTTACCAATAGCTTCGACTCTATTCCAAGGAGAAATCTTCGGTTTATGTTGTTGTTTTTTTTATCAAATTTTAAAGAGACATATTGCATGCTAAGCGGGATGTAGTTCACTTTTCATCTTTGCTTTTTGTTTCAGACATATTAAGAAAAATGAGTAGAAATAGGTAACTATGCGTTTATGTGTTCTTACTTTTTGCAATAGATACGGGCACGCAGACGAATACTTCCGGTGTTCTTCCATGACGTCATCAGTCTTTATCCAGTCCTTCAAGCCTATCCCGCACACAAAACATCGCACTAAATCTTCTCGACCTGAAATTCATACGAAATTGTATCAAATTAACATTCATTTTGCTTGAGTTTAAGTTACTAAGGCTGGTTGCCCTGGGCGAGTGGTTAGGGATGTTTGCCTTGAAACACACGTCCTCCACGGCCTTTGGTCCGAATGCTACTGCATGTTTACAGCATAAAGACGATGTGAAGTTTGTTCCTGGGAGGCTTCTTCGGAATATCGAATGTTCTACTCTTTTGCTTCATTGTTACATGGTTACAACTGCTAAAACGTTGAAACATTTACTGATACATTGTATTCCTATACATTCATATACTTCCGTTCACATTTTTAAACCTTTTCTGACAATCTTATAATTCCGGTCACATTATTTTACTTTCGCTATTATACTTTTGCTCACATTCTCATACTTTCGCTAATAAACTTTTGCTCACATTTGTATGCATCTTCTGAAATAATTGTACTTTCACCAACATTGCTTGTAATTTTAGTGACATTCTTGTATTTTCAAACACTTTAAATGACATTCCAATACTGTAACTGATATTCTTATACCTTCTACTTTCAAAACATTTTTTTCTTTAGCTCACATTCTTGTACTTTTACTCACATTCGTATGCTTTTAATTAAATTTAAGAGGGCAGGGGACATATCCGAATGATGGCCCCGGGTCAATTTTTTTAATAACTCAGAAATGGTGTTTGGAAGGTACTGGAAACTTTTGATATTTCTGTCATTGTAATTTTTTATTGTTTGTATATAGAAAATGAGCATAATTTTTGGGTTTTAACCCGAAACTAAGCATGTTGGTAGCTTTGTATATATTTGTGACTCTCCGAATGGAGATGAAAAAGTGAAAACTCAAGCTTTGACAAATGACACCAAACAAGTTAGAAATTTTGGATAAGTTTTGTGAAAAAAATCAAAACGTCTGACAGACACTTTATTGGTTATTTTTGGAAAATGCCATTGATTGCATTGTGTGTAAGTGATATTTTTAAAGGCACCGGGCGGATTCTGGAGTATGCTGCACCTTCATGAAGATTGCCTATATTGGTATATTTTAGATTTTTGCTGGGTGGGGTAATTATATAAATTGCTGTCAGTCATTAGTTTTAGGAGCAATGCATGCAAACTATTATTTTATTCAATGTTTGCCATATATCCTTGAATAATGCCGTGCAACTGGTTATCTGCCTGTGAAACAGATTTTGAAATATTTGGAATTGTGTTTCTGGCCACGCTGAAATACAGAATTGTTCATTTTTAGGTCCCCTGCCCCCTTCTGGTACTTTCGTCTAATACAGCTTAATTTTGCTTACATTCCTATACTATTGCAAGCTCGACTTGAGGTCCTATCCGTCATGCTTAGGTAAAGGACCTCGAACATACCGACCGGAAAAAGGTAAAGATGTTAACGGGCGCTACAAAAAATAAATATGTCAACAAGTTAAAAGGGGTTGTGGGGAACTGTTTGAACTATTTTGTTTTAAAAGAATCCACTAATTTAATACAATGTTCGATCTTTTTTCTGACTGCAAATGGTACTTTCGTTGAGTTTCTTATACTTAACTTAAATTCCTATACTTCTGCTCACATAATTGAGCTGTTGTTTAATATATATTGTTTTAAGTTTTTTAAAGATAGATTTGCCTGAAATGTCTAAGACCGTATGTAAACATTGACTGATTGAATATTGTTAAAATAGGATACAAGTTAACTGTAAAGCTACCTTTTAGTACAGCATCATTTTTGTTCTGTTTTAAAGGATATTCATGTGTAAGAATCTATTGAAAATTAAAAACATACCTGTAAAGAACATTCCTTGATTAGCGAATGTATTTATATCTGGCTTTTCATTAACCAGCCAATTTGATGAACGAAATGTATTCAGTCTGCTTGCCAACGTCATATATTGTACATATTTCGGCGAACAGTTCAACGGAAGGCCCGACTCAGACTGGTGAGAGCTATGTGGCGATGGTGACGATGCAGCAATAGCCTCACTTGAAGAATATGACGTCGTAAAAGTGTTTGATCTACTACTAGCGCTTGTCGGACTGAAAGAATATGACACCGAAGGAACGCTCGATTCTTGTGCAGTAAACCTGTACCTGGCACTGGGAGTCACTTCCATACTAAGACAGTCTACATCCGTATCGGTTACTTGAGTTGGATACTTATCTGTACTCGGGTGTGATGGGTTTTCGTAGCTTTCGTTTCCTCCTGGCGCTGACCATACTGTTAAGGGCTCCTGGATGGATTTTTCCGCTTTGACAGCTCTTCCTTCTACGTTGGTCACATGACTTGTATCTAAAAATATTATAACACATAATTATATTGGCATGATTTGATGAAGGCTCGTGTCTGAGATGGAAAGGTGGCCATGTAGAAAAGACGTGTGTCTATCAATACAGGACTCATGTGTTCGATTCCCTTTAGTTCACTGGTCACGATCATGTTTCATAATGTTACATCTGTACTTGTTTGTTTCAGGAGTGATGAGTTTTCATCGCAAATATTTTTAAACGGAATCCCAATCTACATTCTATTATTACACTTTGAGAATATAGCATACTATTTAACTTATTTACATATCTGCTTAAAATATATCTTAAGTAAATTGGACAATAATAATAATAATAATAATAATAATAATAAAGGAATTGAAAGGTCTGTAAAATCAAAAATAAAACATGATTTACAACAATCATATGATTATGGATGTTATTGTTGGGATTTTCCAAGATACATCATCTAATGTGCTATATCTTAATATAGAAGAAACGTGTCATAAATTGTTCTAGAACAAAATATTATTATACATATTATTATTCATTACATAAATGTCCATCCTAAAACAACATTAATTGTCCCAGAAATATTTTATATGAATGGTCAAATGCGTAAAAATCAATATTTCAAATACTTATGGAAAATGTGCCCGTGGTAGACCAGTCCAAAATACGGTCTTACTATCACAACCTTGGGCGCGGTTAGGGTCGGATGGATGGAACTTTCAACCCTTAATTAAGTAGTAAAATGCACATTATCACTTTACTACGAGTATGTTAATATATATTTACACTTAGACATACTGCCTTAGTCACAAATGACAAACTGCCGCCGGACGGCGTCAATTTTTCCAAACAAATCGTAATATCGTCCGTCCGTCCGTCCTGCGACCTTGACAATCGGACGGCAGCAGCTGAAAATTTTGGTCATCGGGCGGGCGTCGTCGTGTTTTAAGTACTTCTTAAAAGCTAACGGCGGCCGGACGATATTTTTTGGGTCAATGACTTGAAAAAGTCATGTGGCAGTGATCGCCAGGTTGCCGGGCGGCGCCAAGGCGATGTTTTTTGGATCGGACGATTGTTTTTGAAACACAAGAGCGATCAGTGATCACATGTGTCGCCTCATGATGGCCAATTTCATGTTGGGACAAGTTTTGTGATAGACTGACAGACAGACAAACAGTGCACAACTAGACTTGGTACTGATCAGCCCTGTAAAGTTTGGATGAAATTGCACCATTAGTTTATGAGGAGTAGTCCGGACAAGCTTTTGTGTATCTGGCAACACACAGAAAAAAACACCTTTTTTATCAAAGGGCCATAACTCGGCCAAAAATCATTCAACTGGAAAACCCGTGCAATATGCGCAAGGACTTGAGCTACAGATCAATCCTGTAAAGTTTCATTGAAATTGCATTAGTGGTATAAGAGAAGTAGTCCGGACAAACTTTAAAAATAAAAATTATTAAAGAGCCATTACTTTGACAAAAATCATTGAACCGGAAAATGCTGACAATATGCACAACTAGATTTGGTACTGGTTTGGATGAAATTGCACCAGTAGTTTATGAGGAGTAGTCCGGACAAGATTTGTGACGGACAGACAGACGGACAGACAGACAGACAGACGACGGAGAAGTGATCCCTATATGTCGCCACTACTCAGTAGAGGCGACACAAAAAACACCGTCCGATTTTAAAGGCACCCGAACGGACATCGCCCTTGGCCCCGCCCTGACATCGACCGGCGCCCGAATAGACACCAGTTGGCGAACGAGTATCGCCCGGTACGCGGAGGATGCATGTACAGGCACCGGGCGGTCATCGTTTTGAAGTACGGCGATCGCGCGGCTTGAGTTTGTTGTAATTACGGCTTGAGAATGCCTAAAATGTATCTATGAATTCTTATGAATTTAACACGAACTGTATGGCCGATCAAAAACGTCTACGCGGATAAGTATTAAGGTAAAGGCAAACTACAATTGTTGCATTTTTTGCTTGGTCTTATCTTGTCTCTATCAACTGCTTTCCTTGCTGGCATATTGACCTCTGACTGATTTTTAAAAGAATATCATAAAATGCCAAGCCTTTACCGTCCTTTACCGCCCGGCGCCCACGCGGCGACCGTCCGATCCTCATTAATCGCACAGACGCCGTCCGGACATCGGTCTTTAAATGCTGTTTGTAATATTAATTTGGCAAAAAATCGCCCGGCGACAGTTTCATTCATGACCACTCAAGGTATCAGATTTAAAATCACCCGGCGTTTGCAAAATCGTAAAAATCGTTAAATCGGGCGGCGGCCGTTTTATTTGTGACCGAGGCATTCTTGTAGTTGGTGGATCGATTAGTTTTCAAGAAACGAAAGAAAGTTCTTTTTCCTCCTTTTTCTACAAATGAGCCGCGTCACGACAAAACCAACATAATGGGTTTGCGACCAGCATGGATCCAGACAAGTCTGCGCATCCGCGCAGTCTGATCAGAACCCATGCTGTTCGCTATCAGTTTCTCTATTTGTTAAGCAGCATGGATCCTGATCAGACTGCGCAGATGCGCAGGCTGGCCTGGATCCATGCTGGTCGCAAACCCATTATGTTGCTTTTGTCATGACGCGGCTCAAATAGCGTTAGACTAATGCGTTAGATGTGATGATATTTTCATCCGTTGGTTTTTCCAACATGGTTTTCAGAAAATTTCTATTCCAGACTTTGTTATTCAATTTCTTTACCACGATCAACAAAAAAAGGATCGCACAATACATTATCGCGTGATATTTGCACAGTTTATGCAATAGTAACTATTGCATAGCGTTGAAATGTTAAAGGCTTATAAAACTACATGTATAAACGATATATAAAAAATATGCTTGCAAATCAAATGGAGCGACGTAGTCCTAATCGACTGTAGATAGTAAATACATATAAAACTAACCTATTTTTTTATTTGTATTTTAGATAAAATAATTGCTTTCCTTGTATGAACTCTATATGAAATGTTGTTTAATAAGTCCGATAATCTTTAAATTTGTTATTATGTTTATGGCATAAGAAAATTATGACTTCCAAAAAAGTAATACTCATTAAACAATATAATTATGATAATAATTTTATTATCATAATAAGGTTTTTTTTTTATCTGATAACCTTTTTAATGACAGACATGACTTGTAGATATCTAGTCTTTTTTATTCTTTTCACGTACGTGAAGCTAGGTGGATGATTTGGTATGCTTTTGTGCGTCTAGTTGGCGCTAACGACAACACGACAAAGCGCCAAACGGCGCGTTGTCAGACTTTCGCCTTGTCGTCCTGTCGCTAACGATGCACGCCAAACGGCGCGTTGTCATGCGGCGTGTTGTCGCGATGTCACATTGCCGCTCGGTTCAAATAGGATTAGCTTATAAGCCAAGCGACAGGGCGACATCGCGCCGCACGACAACGCGCCGTTTGGCGTGCTTCGCTAGACAGGACGACAGTGCGACAACGCGCCAGTTGGCGCTTTGACGTGTTGTCGCTAGCGACAGGACGACAAGACGAAAGTCCAACAACGCGCTGTATGGTGCTTTGTCGCGTTGTCGCTAGCGCATAAAAGCGAACCAAATCAGCCACCATATTCTAATGACGCACTTGTAATCTGACGCCATATTGTATTTCTGCGGTCCCATTCCCTACGAATAGATTATAAATAAGTGCGGTTACGTTTTCTCGGGTGATTAAGGTCGTCATGATTTAATTGATTCATACAGGCGACTCCTTTTTAGGTGAGGACCTGTATGGTATCACGTGTACGAGTATTATAATAGCTTTAAATATTTAAAAGTAAATAATGCGTAAATATGAAAAATCGGGTTTTTTTTATTTTTAAATCAAATAATCTAGAACAAACCAAAAACGTTCTATCTATAACTCACCAGTAACTGTTTTGTCTTTAATTTAAATTAGAAATGACTTCATCTTTATTTATTTAAAAAAAATGAGATAAGCTGTAAGTTAAAACATTTTACTTTGCAGCTATAATGACTGTTAAAAAATGTATGATGACGTAAAACAAAATATTAAATTTATCAAAAATGAATTAACGAAACATGAAAGAGTAAACTATATCTGCTCCCTGGCAGTTGTAATAAAATAATTAACTTATTGTTATAAATGATATATTCACTATGTATAATAAGGGTTACAATTCAGAATATTAAACATGTACATGTTTGTATTAAACATGTACATGCATTTGTATTTATCACATTCCATGTAAATCTGACAAATATTTTAAGATGAACACATGTTAAGATTTTTATAAATTATGTACGATAAATAAACAATAAACATAATAAAAACAACATGATTTTCGCCAAAAGCATTTAGAAATGATTCATTTGATAGGAATTGTAATTAAAGTTAAGTAAATTGTGCATTTTTTTAACTTTTGTCATCGTCGGTTACCCACGGTTTATAATACGTTTACTAATGGAGTCCACATCGGTTTCCCAAAATCCCAACCCTATTTATAGCTGGATATTTATAACAAAAGTACAACCTCTCATGATTATTCGATTAATTCTGCGCTATTTATAAACTGACTGTCAAGGTGAGGTTTTTTGTGGGGTTTTTTGAACTATGATAGATATTTATTCTTAAGTTATTGGTGATTTTCAATCATACATATCGAATAGTATATAAAGAAGTATTATTAAATTATCCAATCAAATTGTAGTTATGTTTACTGAATGATATAATTAAGCTGATTTTGCAATTATTGGGGGAGTGACTTCTCTCTCTCCTGTACGTGCATGTCATTGTCTTTCCTGTACGTGCATGTCATTGAGAAGGCGCGCGGCATCGATCCGCTGCAAGTAATGCGGCATGACTGAGTCTAAATGACGTTCAATATATAGAATTTTAAAATATTGAAAATTGCTGTAAAAACTTCACATAAAGTAGATATGTTAAGACACTACTGTAGGAGGCCACACTATGAATATATAGTGTTATCGAAAACTGCATTTTTATTAAAGAAAGACTAACTTTACTCATTTAAAGTGATCATCTTGTGTCAAATATACATTAAAACGGCCACTATTACAGTATCATATAATGTCACGTGAAACACTATCATCATCATCATTAGCCTAACTAACGATGACTGATTTCATAAGCAGATTCTTTCCTATATTGTCAAACCGCTATTAGGACATAGCCCGTCCAAAATTATCTCAATGTCTCTCATACAAGTCAAATAAGTTGGACTACATTATCATCATCATCATCATCATTATTACTTTTATAATGATTTATTGTTACTGTTATTATAAGAGTTATCATAAGAATCATCATCATCATCATCATCATCATCATCATCATTAAAATATATCACTGAATTTTCAATTATACATAACTTACCTAACTCACCATAATTGTGTTGCTTTGATCGAGATATGTTAGTAGAACCTGGTTCGACATTCCGTAATAATTTTATTAGAGATGCGCTGTCTATTCGTCGTAACTCAATCTCCTTAGAAAAAAGTTTTCGTTTTACTTTTGATTCCACCATTACAATTTCCTCTGGTTTATTCAGAAACACTGTTTTTCTCCCCTGTTTAATCAAAACAATTTTCCGCTGAGCGTTAAAATTCTCTTGAATGTCTCCATTGAAAGCTGACAACTGTGGGTTCGATTCAAAAATATTTCTTGAAAAATTCGGCGACAGAGGCGAGGGACAGTGCAATATTCGATTTTGATTTACGAGTATGATTGACTGATTAGTCGTATTTTTACTTCCTGGTTTACTTAACAAATCAAGTATTTTATATAATTCCTGTGATTTTAAATCCACAGTGATATACGCGTAACAGTCCTTCTCTCCCATGGTTACACCTGTGAATGTATTACTATCGACAGTGTGTGCATATATATAAAAAGAAAAAACCTATATGTTAAAACTGGTATTCCACATTTCCAACTCATGTGCTAAATTTAAAACGGTATTCCAATGATACACATCCGAGTGCGATAGCTACATGTATCTGCACTTTTATTTTTTTAATATTAAGTCAACATTTATTCATATTAACCACACAAAAAAACGTACACTTTACGTACTTTATCATATTTTAAAACATTCCATGGCCAATCCAAGATAAAACTATGCAGGTGTTATTTGAAAATGCTCGTGTTTTCTAATACTAATAACACTTGTTTTTGTTTTATAAACTATGGTGGCTGATTTCTGTCATGTCTTCGTAAATGACGCATTTGAAGGGGCGTCAACACGAAAGAACGCAATACGACAAAAATATAAATTCTCGTTTTGTCGCACTGTTTTTTATTGTTTCGTTGTTACTTCGTGTCGATGCGTGCATTCGTGTGTATGCGTGTGTATGCGCGCGCGCGTGTGTGTGATTTTATTTATTTATTGTGGCGTTTTAAAGACAGCTGATATTAAATATTCTGGTGATTTTCATTATGTTGGAAAAAAATTCTTTCGATGTATTTTCCCTTATTATGTTTATTAAGACCACACGCAATTTAGAACTGGTTGAGGGGTAGTTTACTATTGTAATTGGTATTGTAATCGCTACGCTTCAAGCTTCTGAAGAAAGGAGTTGTTCAGGAAGGCCGAAGATCTTTTAGGGGTCCCCATGTAGGGAATTCGCGATATTGGGGTTCTAATAGAAATTCTAGCGATTATGAACATAGTGACATACATACTCCTTTTTCAGGTTACACGCGCAAAAAATATTCGCATAATGCTTACCCTCAAAATAGTACAAATGACAGATAATAAAGTCTGTTATAGAGAGTCTCACGATTCTCCCTCAGTACGGTCCAGTTTTCATGACAGATGAAGGGAGATGGGTATTTTTGGATCAAGTGTGGATTCTTGATTGTGCACGTATGGAGTTCATAATCATGTTTAATCACTACTTTTAGGCAAGAATACTTCGTTTTACGTTAAAATTTTAACTGACAGAAAGGTTCAACATTCTGATGCAGAATGATATTTTATCTGACTTACAGAATAATGATACTCCAATTTGGAAACCTATTGGTAAAAATGGTATTGGTTCATATCGTAATAAATGTATTCCTTTGCAGATAGTATACTATACTACCGTTTATTTTTATTGAATAGTAATACTTTCTTTGATGATTTCACTACATGCTAAAAGAATTATATCAAAATTCACTGTGTTAAATTCTTTTTATTTTACAATTGGTGGTATACAAAACGGAGGGAAATTAATCGCAGAACCGCAGTATATTCAGTAAAATAAATCAAAATAAAGGCATACGTCTTCTGAACATTATTATAAAATTCAAACGACCAAATCGAATGAGAATTTATAAAAACAGACAGTTTTGTTGATAAAAGACGCAATTCCACCGACGACGAAAGCGGGGCGCTTTGACGTCATACTAAGCTCTTTCTTACAAAAGAATACCGCTGAAGTAAAGCTAACATATCTAAATGTTTACAAACCAAAAGTCATCAAAAATTGAGAGGTTGTCAAATAAGAAAAGTAGCGAGCTACCTTCATACAATAGTATAATAAATCTGAACTAGAATTAAAACACCCACTCAGTAAATAATATTGATTTAGATGCTAATGTAAGTATTTTTGAAGTTATCAGAGCTGTAGAAAAAGCTAAATTAGGAAAGGCATTAGGAATTGACTGTATTCAAATAGAAGTTTTGAAAATGATGCTTCTTTAATTGTTTACAAAGTATTTAACGTATGTTTTGAGACGGAATAGATACAATTTGTATGGTCAAAGAATATATGAGCCGTGTCATGACAAAACCAACACAATGAGTTTGCGACCAGCATGGATCCAGACCAGCCTGCGCATCCGCGCAGTCTGATCAAGATCCACGATGTTCGATATCAGTTTCTATACTGGTTATAGAGTTTGTAAGCGAACAGCATGGATCCTGATCAGACTGTGCGGATGCGCAGGCTGGTCTGGATCCATGCTGGTCGCAAACGCACTATGTTGGATTTGTCATGACACGGCTCATATCATATTAAATCCTACTCCTAAATCTGGTGCTAAAGGCCCGAAATTAGGAATGTATTACCAAGGCATAGCTTTTTTTAGTTCCGATGTACAAGATGTACAGTAATATTTTAAATGAACGAATTGTGATGTGATCGAATTGTTGAAGAGCAAAATGGTAACCGCAAAAATGTGGAACTGTAGACCATAATATTATTATCTAAACTTACAAATATAATTGATACACGGTTAAAAATATCGACTGTAGTTCAATCAACGGCGAAAGCTTGATGAATGTGGCATGTCGACCAAGATGCTTTCAGTAGTTAGGTCTCTTTTATATAAGGATATGTCAGCATGTGCACGAATAAGAGTTTATTATCAATTTAAAAAATATACTATCGCATTCTTTGTATATTCTCAAGACCATGGGAGTAAAAAGGGAAAACTGCCTATTATTATTTGCCTTTTATTAAACACAAAAATACATTATTCTTCCAATGTAAATTATATGAAGATACCTTAATAGGCAACCGTATAAGTTTTTAAGGAATTGTTTTGTTTTGATAAGGTAATTCAACAAAGTCTTACGTAAGTCTGCATGTTGTTTATTTTCTTTGTACATAGAAATAGCAAAAATAAAGTACAAGCTAGATCTAAGGTCCATGGTGACCGCCAGGTGGCATCATATGGTCTGGCATGCACATACAGGCGCTGTCTATGCAGTGCTTCGACTCGTGTGTGGTGTGTCCCATGGGGTCAGTATGTGAAGGGCAGTCTGGGCAGTCGCTTAATTGTGCACATTTGACAGCTGAAATAGAAATTTTTTTGAATAAACGTTTTACAATTATTTATTTTTTAAATACATTCATTTTTTTTATTTTACTTTTTAATACTATCTATACAAATTCGACAGAAACGTAAAAAGGATCAAATTGTTTTGTTTTTTTTGTGGTTCAATCTTTTGAAAAGCAGTTGCGAGCTTGAACAAGACTCACTTTCTTTATCATGGTTCATACCAAAGGTTCTTATTATTTGAAATTGATCACTTTGGATTATCATGTCTTTATTACCATATTTCTGATAGCTAAATTTTTTAAACTACAGTTAACCTTTATTGTGGCTACGTATGACTATATTCTGTAAACTAAACTAAACAAGCGAGTAAACAAACAAAAGTTATATTTTTGTACTTTATTTAGTTGGATATAAAGTCATATCGACGCTAAAAAGGTCATATGTCATTAGCCTAGCAATTCTTGTGAACTTCTAGAGAAACAGGTGTCACCAACAATATGCCACCACTCGGATGCGTTCCCTATTAGAAATCATTTAAAGTTCAAGATGGTATTCGAAACACACAATGATTGGTGATAAGCGATTCAAGGTCAGTGACTTTAAAGGTCTCCTATCTTGTTTAAAGATAGAGGACATTCTTCATTGCGTCTTACAGAAAGATAAAAGAAATTTATAGCACTATTAATTGACTTGGACACATTTGAAAATGACATCAATGAGTTAACCTTTTCGTGGCTTACGAATGGATAGTACACACTTTTGTTGTTTCTTTTTCAGTTTGAACTTTAATATAGATATAAACAATCTATCTTGTTTAAATGAACTATAAATAATAAATATGTTATGAAAGACCATTTGTTCTTTTGAATGTTTCAAAATCTGCGGTGACGGACAAACGATCGGTTCGCTTAATTATCACGGATAAATTTCGTCTATTCCGAGAATAGAACCAGCGCTCCCTGTATAACTAATTAATACATCATTGGTCCAAGTCGTATCGTAAAAATTACAAGCTGTGTTATACACAAAGACATGTTACATTATAAACTGTATTTTATTTTATGAATTTCAGTGGATTACTGATTTATCCGTAAAAAATTATATTTGATAATTTCACAGTGAAAATTATCAAAATATAATTTCACTTTTTTCAATGACGAAACTACTTTTTTAAGATTTTCCCCATGTGGTACCTCATTTTTATTTTTACTGACAATTCTGACAATGTCAAGCTGTTAAAAGAAATAGCAAAACTGAAATAGATAAATAACTTAAATGTCAAAAGAAATGGAGAGAGAAAACTTACTTCTATTCCTTCAAATTCCAATCACCAAATTTCGTCTCTAAATTTTTTTGTTTCGTTTTTACAGTCTGGAAAATACATTCCTTCCCCATGCAAAACTGCTCTTGATGACATTTGGGCATATTAAAGTACTAGTATCCTACGAGCAATAACTGCCGTATGCTTTATGAAAAATTGAAAAGCATTGACAGACATCACTCGTAAAATAAGTAAAACAACCCAGCGTTCCTTACTGTTCTTAGCAAGCTTTCAAGTTTTCCATTTTCCTAGCTCCTTTTCTGAATGTTTTCACTTCTGTCAACACTTATTTTTTGTCTGTTACAATCCTCAAATAAGTTTTCTCTCTTTTAAAAAGGTGTATGACTAACAAATCCAAATTATATCCTACTGAATCTTACACAATTATTTTCCTCCCATGAAATACACAACTTTAAAAGATGGCTGCCGCTTACATTTTACAAAGCCAGGTCTTATATAAATTCGCAGTAAGTAACAGAAATATGGATGGATGGTTGGACTTTTTCTCCTACAAGAATTGTTTGTTTTTATTATTAAAACAAGCGATCATTCATATTTTTTTAATAAAATGAATAAATATCACTGTCATTTAACCTTGATTAGCGGACTTATTTTTCAGCTCAAGACTTCTTGTTTTAAATGAGAAATTCCGTCTAAATGGGGCTCTCAATGGGGGAAACAGATTTTAATATTAACGTTAAAATTATGGAAATTTCGTTTTAACTCGTTTTAAGCATAAAATAAAAAGAAAATTTGTCTGTTTGTTATGTAAGATGTAATTTTATTTCATCTCGTGAACTTTAAAAACAGTATTCTTACTCGTGGCTACGCCACTCGTGAGAATACTGTTTTTAAAGCCCACTCGATGAAATAAAATTTCATCTTACACACAAACAAACAAATATCCTCTATATATTACAGATCGAACTATTCTCGTAAAAGTTGTATCATACTTCAAGTCGTATTAAGCTAAGATCTTTGTCATCACAGCCACATTTTTATCGTTTTCGAAGTTAAAGAATACTTGAGTCAAAATACTAGTGCATGATTCATTGGCGTTTCATGCTTGGAAAAAAATCGTTTTTTATAATTAAAACAAGTCGTATCATACTTTGGAAAATCGTATTGTACTTGGAAAATCATATTGTACTTGGAAAATCGTATTGTACTTGAAAGATTGTTTCATAACTGGAAAAAATCGTATTACACATGTACTTGGACAATTCTGTCATACTAAGAAAGGCCGTATCATTCTTGGAACGCTCTATCGTACTTGGAAATTCGTATTATACTCGATTGTAGTATCATACTTGAAAACGGTCGTTTTATACTCGCAAAAGTCGTATTATACTTTGAAATGCCGTATCATACTTGAAAATGTTGTATCATATTAAGAAACGTCATATCATACTTAAAAAAGCTGCATCGAACATCAGGGTCTTTCAAAAATGTAAAAATCGTATTATACTTCAAAAATAGTATCATATACTTGAAATATCGTATCACAATTGGAAAAGTCGTATCAAAATTGGAAATATGTGTATATTTTTTCGAAAAGTCTTATCATTTTTGGAAAAGTCGTATCATTTTTGGAAAAGTCGTATCATATTTGGAAAATCATATCATACTTGGGAAAGCTGTGCCATTTGTAAGTCGTGACACATCTAAGATACTCGTTTTATATTATTATACTTACAGCAAGTACAAACATCGTGTTCACACGCCTTCATCTCTCCATCCGGGCATGTGTGAGTGCATGTTGAAGCGTCGTGGTTGGTGCAAAGGCGGCAGTTAACTGTAACTATAAAATAATACAAAATATATTTTAAAAATAGGTTTTAAAAATGCCACTTATTTTCGTATCAAAATCTGATCAATATTAAGTGTTGTCAATCAAATTTGAGCATAATATGAATGTCATTGCTATCGTACAACCAGCAATTTATATCAATTAAAATCAACTCCTGTTTGGTCCAGGGCAGGGTTTGTGTTGGGTGACCTTGTCGTGTTCCCGACCTTCCGCGTGCCCTCGACGCACATCAAAGAATTTGAATCTTGTAATTGCTACATCATGTGGACGAAAATTTAAAACGTCGAATGTGCATGACTGTACTCGTTTCTTGAACGATTTTGCATCATCTAAGAAAGTCAATGACTAGAATAGGTCCTGTTGTCGTTTTGATAAAATATTGATGCAAGTAATTTTTTGCGAATATTTTATTGCTTACATTTGTAATTTTAAAAGAATTACTGCTGTGGTTTCCCTTGGAATGATTACATTTTAATGCACCTGATTAAGATGCACATGAACATGGATTAAGATTTTCCGAGGCATGTTGCCGCATTCAAGGTCCGATCTCGCAGGGCCATAAAATTAAAGCTAAATAAACTATAGCATATTACTATGTCAACTATAATATAAAATCTAATCGAACTATAAAATGAAAGATGTAGTAAAAATTAATTAAACTAACCGACAACAACGGCAAGTGCTGCTAATATCAGAGTAAGTTTCATAGCTGAAGGTGTAAGTGTCCAACAAAAACTGTTTGTGGTTATAAGGAAGACCAGTCTGTTTCTTATATATATCTATCACAGCCATATTTTAGAACAACGTCCGTCACAGATGGTCAATGCCATTGATAAGAGAATTACTTAAGTATATCAACAGATGTTTGGACTTGGATCTGCTTCACAAATAAATTTATTAGTGTCCTAATTTTTGACGGCTTTTAGTATTGTCACTAAAATATCACAAGAACTTGACATAATTATATTTGGAAAAGTCATATATGTAAGGGATTTCAGAAAAGTCCTATTTTCTTTTCTCCGGTCATAGCGTATAAAGATTACCGTAGGTGTCATCTTAAGGCTTTTGTACATTTTATATAAATTGCAGCATAAACAGGATGTCACGTGTTCGAGGCCGAGCACTGTCATGTGACATTATGCTCATATTTTCGACCCATATTTTCATTGTCAAGTTGAGCTGAATTGACTTATGGTTTTAAAAAAAAATCGGCTGCTATTTTGGTGATTACATGAAATTGGGAAAAGTGAAGGATAAAAAATAAATTTTGCCCAAAAATTTTTTTTAAATAAAACAAAGCGTTACGGGCCAATTACGATATGTTTCTTGGGGCGGGGTAAATTTTTTACCGTCAGGGTTGGGGAAATAATAAATTTAGGGAAGATTTTGAAAAAGAAACTTTTTTGCCTTTTTTCCGTTGGATGAAACAGGGGGCGTCTGATCCTGGGTTTAAATCGCAAATCTGTTTGGGACGACCCAAAATTTTGGACGTCCAATAGATCGCGTATGCAACAGGTTTCAGAACCCAAAAAAGGGAACGACAAGTAAAAAATTCCCGGGTGAAATAAAAAAAACCGATAAAAATTTTGATTTTGGGTTAGATTTAAATTTAAAGAAAGCTGGGGAATTTTCAAGTTTTTTTTAAAATTGAGGGAAAATGAATGATGCAGCAAAATGCCTTCGGAATGCGCCTCAGTCGCCGAAACGACGATTTCCCGTGTTCCACATTGTTTGGCAAATGAACATACAGTAGGCTTTTCACCTTTATATCACAGGGGGAAGACGCTGTGATCTGACATTAGCCCGGCCCCCTCCCCCCTAAGGCCCTGCTACAACCCATAAAAATTATCAATGGAAGTTGAATTGCACAATAAAAATTCATAAAAACAATATTCTGACACGTTTCGACCCCTATACTATAAGTTATTATAACTAGCTTATAGTATTAGGATATAATGAAAATCGTCGAAACGTGTCAGAATATTGTTTTTATGAATTTTTATCGTGCAAATCAACTTCCATTGATAATTTTTATGGGTTGTAGCAGGGCCTTAGGGGGGAGGGGGCCGGGCTAATGTCAGATCACAGCGTCTTCCCCCTGTGGTCAGTGGGGAGTATTAATTTTCAAAATAGCAATGCAAATACACATATCTTAGGTTGCCAAACATGTTTTCCAAAAATAAAGCACTAGCAGATATTATTTTTTTCTTTTATTGCAAAAATATATATCATATATCAAAATCTTAAAATATAAAATACATTTTACGCATATGAAGGAATTAAACATAATTCCATGCATTAAAAAATTCACATCATACACCGGTAGGTAAAACACCACTAAATGTCCTGATGTTCTAAATTTCAGGATGACAAATGCATCCACCATCTACACAATGATGAACCTCCCTCATTCCTTTTATTATTGACTCACAAGGAGGGCAATCCGTTCTTTCCACACATCTTCTACCTGTTAGGACAAAAACAGTAATGTTTTAGAAATACAAAGATTTGTAGCTGTGTTTAATAATTATGATTAATTAATGCTAGCTTAAAAATAGAGAATTCCTGCTTAAACAAACTGTATCAACGATTCCAACAGGCTTTACTTAACAGACAAAGCAGTCGAGTTAATTGTTTTACGTTAATTACATGCGCGGCATGATAAAGAAATAATCACACGTCATATGACGTCAGATATGACGTCAATAAACCAAGTGACATCGAAAAAAAAACCGTCTCTCTCAAAGTAGTGCAACATCTTTTTTATCAATTTTTATATTTATTGGCAAGTTAGAATGGAAATTTATATATTTTCAATACTAATATTCAAGTTCATAATAACGTTAGCGTACAATTTTGAGTATTGACAGCGTGAAAGACACGTGACTTACCACATGAGCAGGACAGGTGCTCGCAAACTTTCGTCTCGAATGGAGGGCATTCTAAATCACATTCTGAAGGGTCGAGTTTAGTTACACATAATTTTCCAGACACAACCGCTGAAATTAAGAAACAAAAAACAATTTTAAATATATCAATATTTTAAAAAAACGAAAGGATGAGTGTCCAACGGAAATCCCGAACCATTTCGATCGTTTATCAGCGAAACCTTTTTTCTCAATTTGTTGAAAAGATATATGGTCAAAATGCAGTTTCATAAATGGTACATCATGAATTTACAGGATGCTCGTAAATGTTAATATGTGATAACAATAAAATAGAAATGCTAATAGAAAAAACAAAAGTATACTTACCGACGCAAGCAATCAGTATAAGTATTTTCATGTTTACTTTTGAACGGCGATGAAGTGATGACAGAACTAGGAATTCAGCGATATTTATACTACATGTCAACACGAAAAGTCAGTGACCATAAGACTGACGCCATCGACAACAACACCTGTCAGGACGTTTACCTTTGATTGAATTATATGTCATTTACCCCCAACGAATTCTTCTGTTGTCGTGAATTTATAAAGTCTTATGTTCTTAGTCTCCTACCAGTTTGACAGAAGAGGACAAAAGGTTAGATGTTAGAACATCCTTCCGTTCGTCCGCTAGACAGCGTGATAAGTCAAAGGGTACTAAAAACATTTTTATGATATTTGAACAGATAATAGCACCAGGGTCTTTCTTTGAAAGACCCTGGTAGCATGGAGGATATGCACATCATTTTAGGTCGTCACTATGATCATTGGGCGTCACGTAAAACATGTCAACTCATGTTTCAAATAACAATACATTTGTCTAGTATTGAATGGTTAGTGTTTTATAAGACTTTTTGATGTAGATTTTATTAACAGATTAACAAGGGTACTTTAGCTATTTGCTGTTGATATATTAATAATGTAAGTAGCGAAATGTTAAATTTTTAATGTAAGTTTCGTTAAAATATATTTGGTGAATATGCACTGTTTACAGGTATATTAATATTTGTCATTGCCAGGTATTATACTTTGATGAGACTTGATTAAGAAATTAAGTTAAATGCTAAGAAACTGCTGCTAACCAGTTCAAGAACTTTTATGACCTAAAGAACTTTGCAAAATCGCTATGGGTTGGAAATTCTTTCAAACATGGGCAAGAAAGTTAACTCTTCAGTGCATATTATAAGTATTTAGTGAGGAATTGTCTCCCTTTCTATATGATTGTAGTTTAATAATTTCGAACAGATTGACCGTATACAGGCAACTTAATGATTTAATAATTTGTAAATGAAATGCTGTATAAGTTGTTATTATATCTTTTATAAAGATTATCTATTTTATGTATTTTATTTTTGTACAAAATCACACGGATTTAAATTACAAATCCATGAAATTTAACATGAAGGTTTCAAAAACGTTTTATATACATTAATGAGTGATTTATATACCACACTTTGCAAATATTTACCTTGGGGCATTTTGCTTAATTATGCATTTTATTTTTTTAACTTAACTTATCTTACTAGAAAAGGTAATGTGGTTTGATGCCAAAAAAATGAGCAAACGACGATGCTGACACTAGAAAGACTCTACAGATTTGCAAGCCTAATCCTTTTCCTGCAGGAATTTATGAAATGGACCATTCAAGCTCCCATTTTTGGAACTGTCAATGCATAAGATAGAAATGTAGAAAGACGGTCAGCCAACAGTAGGCTGACATATACGACTTTTTATGTTTGCATTTCTGTCTTGGTTAAAGTCCATTCAGGGGCAAGTCCTTGTTTCCTTCATCAAGAAGTTTTATACTCATTGCTTAGTGCTCACACCGTATTACCGGCGCCAGTGATGAGAGACTGCTTTAGTGATGACAGAAATCTAAATTTATCTGATTACAATCATATAGACTATTAGTTTGTTTGGTATATTTACAATACGCAAATTAGGACGATTTAATTTTCTATGGATACTATCAGGTAATTTCGCCCATTTACTAAAATCTTTGAGTCAGGCAAAAAGAAATCTTCCAGAATTCCTACTTGAACACTGTTTATTCACCCTAAGGGACCAATAGATATAATTGAGGAAATTGCAGCTTGACTGACACAAAGATTACTATTATATCAAGTTTCTTGCTTTTCAATGAAGGTTCACAGTTATTCCAGGGATTTCTTGGTTAAAAGACGTATTCGGAGAAGAAATTGTTTTACGGCGCGCCCAGCTGGCATTATTCAGACACCCGCATATCTAACATACGAGGTTTTTGTGGGAAACCCTGGTTAAAAAACACTATATAACAACAATATCACTTTTTGTGCTTTATTAATATGTCTTAATTTAAACATGTACAAAACTATGATTTGTTCATGAGGACTTGCCATACAATAAACAAAGGAACGTTGAGGAAATTAAATACTAATTTGTCATTATGAAAACAATACAACAAAAGGGAAATACTGCACTGTCTTACTTTCCTTAACATAATAGCAAAAAAATGCAATAACTTAAATGACAAATATTTCATACAAATAATAAAAAACATTTCAGTAAGAAAATGAGAAAGAAAATGAATATCGTTTCAGCATTCGTGTATCTCTGTTTCAGTTAAAAGCAAACACTTTTTATAACCATACTTACAGGTAAGTACAGGTAGTTGTACTAATCTTTTGAAATCTTAAACTTTTTTCTCCTTATTAATTAACCAATACCATGTTGGTTCCGAAAGAGAAACCTTTCAACCAATATAGAACCACACCTGCCTGCAAATCAGTGCGGTCTGTCTGATTAGGCTCTATATACTGCTGGTAGCTTGTTATGAAAATTCCCTTAACATTCTAATGGACTGTCAGGGCAAATCCATTACACAAATTAAGATGATTGAGGGTTATATTTTTT